ATTCTGAAGATAGGTTAGGGAGAACACTGGCAAGATTTTTTGGCAAGATGAAGGTCACTGGGACCTTGGTAATCGTTTCAGTGGAGTAGTAGGAATGCATGCCTGATTGGAGTGCATTCAAGGGAGAATGGGAGAAGCAGACAGCAAAAGGAGAGAAACGGGTTTAGGCGAATGTTTAGTCAAGGGAATATTTGTTTTTGGTTTGCAAATAGGAGATGTTGTTAGGATTGATCCAGTTGAGGAGGAAATGAATAATACAGGGGAAGGGGGAGAGAGGATTAACTGCAGGCTCCAGTGCCTTAGAAACAGGGATAGCTTATCCATGGTAACAGAAGGAAATACAGCGCATATGAATACAGACTCAAGCAGGTGGGTACCTTTGGTGGTGGGAAGATGAAGGGAAGTGGTTAAGAGCACAGACTGTGAAGTCAGATGGCCTGGGTTCAAATCTAGACCACAGCGTTTACATGTTATGTCCTCTTAGGCAAGTTAATTTAACCTGTGCATCCGTTTCCTTAGCTGTAAATATGGGTAATAGCAACTGTAAGTTTGTTGCAAGAATTAAATACTACCAACAAAGCACTTAGAATAGTGCTTGGCACACAGTAAATACCCAACAATTACTACCTATTATGTCTTCAAATTAGTCATAATTTTCCCATATTATAAATATTGAAATTTAAAAGCTAACTTAAAATTTTCACTGAACACCTGAAGCATACTCAAGATGGCAGACGACAAATAAACAATAATGCAAACTTACTCTGACCTTTTATGTTTGCATTTTTAGCCCAGAACTGATTTCCATTAAGGAACCTACTTTTCAATAATTTACAGCTTATTACCGACACAACTATAAATCTAATAAACTGCAGGAAAAGTATTATTTTCCTCAATGGTAGAATAAGGCCTAACATGACCAAAACATCCATATTATTAAACAAACCAATTTATCATGATTTCTTTAAAGGCACTATTTTGGATGTTTGCAAATTCTGAGATCATCACACATGAAACTAAAACACCGAAGTTACCAAAGGTACCAGTTGTGCATCCTTTTACCATTTTGAAGCTGACATGAGATAGTGGATGGTCAACTATCTTCCAGTCTTGCCCCACCCACACCTAAGCAGTTACTAAGTAATTCTTACAATCATAAGGACACTTATGCAATCTCCTTTGCCTGGAATTCTCAATATTGGTCACCTTGCCCTCTTTCAATGAGCCTACCTCTCAGCCTTTAAAATTCAAGTCAAGTAGCAGCTTTGTCTGTACTAGCCAAAAAGTGGAAATAATCCAAATATCCATCAACTAGTGAATGGATAAACTAGTATGTCTCTACAATGGAATACTACCCAGGAATAAAAGGGAATGAATTGTTGATACAACATGGATAAATCTTAAAAACATTATTCTGAGGGAAAGAGACTTTACCAAAAAATACATACTCTATGGCTTCATTTATATTACATTCTAGAACAGCCAAATTTAATCTATGCTGAAAAGAAGCAACAGTTTTTACCTTTGTAGGAGGGACAGAAGCAGGGATTGAGTGTTAAGGGACATAGAAGAACTTTCTGGGTTGATGATGAAGGTCAATACCTTTGATGGGGGTTATCCTCAAAACTCAGCAAATACTCGTTTGTGCTTCATCATATATAAATTTTACATCAAAAGAAAAAATGGTATAAATACTAAACTCTTAATGATACACATGCTGAAGTATTTAGGGGGTGGTGCACCCATGTTTGTAATTTACTTTGAAATACGTAAAAGAGAAACTGATACGATGGATGTGATGATAAAGCATGTATAATAAAATGTTTGCTGTAAAATTCTAACTTTACTGTATATGAAAAATTCGTAATAAAATGGGGAAAACTTCGTCAGCCTTATAAGAAGCCTCCCCGAGCACACCCACTCTTAGTACCCCTCATCTGTGCTCCCATAACACCCAGTAAAAGTCTAACATTGAATTTAACTCCATTTTATTAGTTTTGCCTCTGCATTCCAAACCCCAGCGGAACTGTGAGCAATTGGAAAGCAGTCTTACTGGTCTCTGGCTGCTCAGCAGCTAGCACAAGGCCAGGCATACAGTCGACAATTAAAACTTGGTGACCTGAAATGGTGTTATTTAGTAAACTTCCTCACCTAGTTTCCTCATGACCAAAGGCCTCATGCTTCACTGGCTCATTTTCTTTTGCTGAATCTTTACAACTACCAGAATTATCTATCTGACCTGGAACTCATCCATATGAATCCATACAAGTTCTCTTTGTGGCAGGATGTTGGGAACATCTCTTCTGGGCTATCCCACTCTTCTTCCTCAGTCTCCCAACTTTTAAAAATTTGTCTGGATGGGCTCAGATTTAATTTATATCCTCTTTATAGAAGCCAGCTGCGTAGCACCCTAAAGACAATGTTTATTCACACCACTCAATTCTCTAGCCAGCTGGACTCCTTAAAGATGCTCCATTTTCTCGCCATGGCATAATGAACAATATACCATTTTATCTTTATATAATTATGTTATCCTTACACACCAAATAGTTTCAATGCTTCTCAAGACTTGAAGTCATATTAACAGCACTGACTAGTCAAGCTTAGTGGCTAAAGGAGGGTCATGCAGCCAGACTACCTGGGCTTGAATGCCAGTACCAACACTCACTACCCATATAACCTTGCCCCAAGAATTTTAACGTCTCTGTGCTTCATTTTCCTCACCTCCTCCTGATTTGTAAGAAGGGATATCAACATGTATCACACATTGTCATGAGGCTTAATGAGTTATTATATGTAAGCCACTTGAAACAGTGCCCAGCTGATATGTTCAGTTCTTCATCACCAATGACAGAAGACTTGCCTTATACTATGATCTACAAACTAGCCCAACATGAAACACGACCAATGTGCGTTACACTAATATGAATCTTTAAGAGTACATCACAAATCTGGTTAACATGTCTAAGAGCATTTTAAGAGTCTTCAATAAAATTACTAAGTTCTTTCAAATGTTGGCCGTCGTTCACCTCCACCCCCTGAACCTCTCAACTAAGGCAGGCTTTATACACACACTCACTCACTCCACCCTGCTAATTTCCTTCCTAGCACTTACTACAAGTTTATTTTCTTTCTTTCCTTATTTCTTTTTTCACTAGATCTATGAGGGAAGGATCTTGCCTGTTCTGTTCGCTGTTAGATCTCTAACACGCCTAGCACATAGTTAAGCACTTAAATGTATACATCCTGAATGAACAATGTAGACATCTGAAAAGTGTTTAACCCCTATCAGATAAAGATTAAAGTAATAATGGTTGCAAGTTCTAAAGTAATAACTCAATTAGAGATTTAGTCTCATTTAAAAATGCATATGATTTACTAAAAATATAAAATGGTGATGTTTTCTATAAATTATTCCCACTCAAACATGTTAGAAATGTTAAGATATCACATTTCTAAACCAGTTAAATGGTTAATTTCTAAACCATCTGTAGCCATCCCCCACTTCAATTACAAAAGATAAAACATACAACATATTGTAGGTTTATTTTTATTCAAAAAGTTACTGTCTCAAGACATAAATACAAATCAGAAAACAGTACAATTAGGACAATAGAATGTGGAGGACAACAGGTTAGAGTAATATATAAAACATTTTTAGCTGGTTGAAAACAAAGCTGTAAGAACTGCTTTCACAAAGAAGAACTCCTTTCAAGAGTGAGAAAAAAAAAATCAACTTAGGTTTAAAATCATATATACAGTCCTCTCAGCAGTTCTAGTAAATGCAGTGGTGTGAAAAAACAACATAGGCAATACTTCTGCACATAATATTTGTTGGTGGAAAATTTGTTAGGTCTGGTTTCATCTGTTATTAACCATGATTTAATAAAATAATTGTATCATGATCTTTTAGCTAACCTATGGTTTTTGGCTACCACAGCCCAATGCTTGTTGATTTCTGTCTAAAAACTGGAAGCATTTTGGTATTCACTCATCTGAAGATATTCTTGTATTGCAAGCATATTAAGGCATGGAATGATTAAAATAATATACCTCGAGAACTGAGAGATGACTGACAAAAGATAGATACACATGTAATATAAGTTAATATTTTGTTTTAAACGATGTCTAGCTGCCTAAGCCTCGCAAAATGAGTTGATGTCAAAATGGCAAGTAGCCACTTTCTGTTTTAAACTAATTTATTTGTGAAAGGACATAAAATGAAGTTTAAAGCTTAGCTTTCAAAGAATATTATGGGTTATGAATTCTATTATCCCATCTAATTTACATACAGAGGAAATGTACTGTAACCTGTTAGAAGTATCTTTAACCTGAAGACTGCTTGCAAAGACAGATAGATAAAACAATATAAAATACAAATTTAAAAATCATTTTAAAGCATGAACACTCATGCTTTTCTATTTTTAAACATTGTTAAACTTTCAATATATTTCTGAAACCTCAT